CAAACATGGCTGTCCCCATATATCAACAACCAGCCGTTCAGCTTACCAGATCAACCGGACAACCAGCCGGATCACCAGCCGCTATCCCACCAGCAAATCTTCATATGCAGTATGTAGACTCATCAATGCTTTCAGCCATTTCTCTGGGTAAGTTCATCGAACTTAGTGATTTACATCCTGACACTCTCAGGCCTTCAACTACCCAGACTTTGAAAACAAACATCAGCTTCGACCCAGACAACCACGGAATTGCGTCATTCACAACCCAGGTGAAGTGAAAAAACATTGACAGCTATGCATCATGGTCCCAGTGCTTTTCAGTTTTCCACGCCTACAGAGCTTTCTACTTCCCATCCGAATGTATCCACCTTTCAAATTACTACTGTCTCATCGCATCAAAAGCAGAAATCTACCAACCCGAAGCTTGGCTTGCCTACTATAAATCATTCCAGATGAATGCAGCACAATATCCAACAACCAACTGAAGTATCCCCGATCCTCAGCTAGACTTCGTTCATTTTCAACAACACCCACACCTCATCATACCAACATGTTTTTCCTGTGGCAAGAAAAGACATAGAAAATCGTAGTGCACAACAAACCAGCAAATTGATACAAACCATACTACTGGAGCACCCCCAAGCCACGATCATCATCTGGTACCCGCACATCAACAGCAAACTCCAGTCAGATCTGTCGGAAATTCAACAATGGTACATTCAGCAGTCCCTGCCAAGCTGGACGTATTCATAAGTGCCTCATATGCTCCGCTCCCGACCATGGTTCGTCAAGTCATGGCAGTAGTGGAGCCAACTCAGCAAAGCAGCCCTTTCATCTGCAGCCCTTTCGAGGAAATGATCATGGCAACTAATGCAACCCACACCATATTTCCGGCAACACCACTCAAGCTGCATGCCTTCACATCATCCCTACATGACCACCCAGACAAAGAATTCACAGCTTCACTACTACGCAACATCTCAGAAGGTGCAAATCTTGGCTTTAAAGGACACCAGCATTGTAGAACTACACGCAAAATCAGCTCTCGCAAACCCTGACGCCATCACTAAATCTATTCTGAAGGAGGTCAAGCTTGGACACACCATCGGGCCATTCACCTCACCACCGCTGCCAAATTTTGTCGTCAACTCGCTTGGTCTTCGTCCAAAAAAGACTGGTGGTCATCGTCTGATCCTGGACCTATCTCAACCCACATCCGACAGCGTCAACCACCACATAAATAAAGAAGACTATACACAACGTTACTCCCGCGTTGACGATGCCATCGCACTAATTCAGAAATGCGGTCAAAGTTCACTACTAGCAAAAATCGATATCCAACATGCCTTTCGGCTCTGTTCTGTGAGAAAAGATGACTGGAATCTCCTCGGTTTCAAGTGGCTTGGATGTTACTTTTTCGACAGAGTCCTCCCGTTCGGCCTCAGATCAGCTCCGTACCTTTTCAACCAGCTAGACGAAGCAATTCACTGGATCATCACCCAACGAGCAAACACACAAAACCTCATTCACTACCTGGACGACTATTTAGCCGTTGCCCCCCCCCCCAACTCACAGGCATGCCTACACATCATGAACACCATGCTATCTGTGTGCAAAGAACTAGGCGTTCCTATCGCCAAGGAAAAGGTGGAAGGCCCCTCATCTACGCTCACATTTCTCGGGATTGAACTAGACACTGTCAAAATGGTCATCAGACTACCAGACGACAAGTTGAACGACCTACTACAAGTACTCCCCACTTGGCTTCATAAAACCTCTAGCACGAAACAAGAGCTCTTGTCACTGATTGGCACGTTAAGCTTTGCTTATTTGCTTGTGCGTATTTTCCTTCGCCGCATGATCAACCTCAGCACATCTGTCACCAATATCAACAGCATCGTTGCATTGACTGAAAACTTCAGACTTGATGTTCAGTGGTGGTGTGATTTCCTACCATCCTGGAGTGGTTCCGCATCATTCTTAGTGTCCAACTGGTCACCTGCTACAAAGCTCGAACTCTTCACAGACGCATCAGGTTCTTTTGGTTGCGGCGGCTTCTACATTGGCCATTGGTTTACCATACCATGGCCAGCATATTTTCCAACATCCATTGAATGGAAGGAAATGTATCCTATTCTCATCGCTTGTTCAATTTGGGGACATTCCTGGCACGCTCAACGCATACTGTTCCACTGTGACAATGAAGCCGTCGTTAACATCTGGAAGAAAGGATCAACACGATGTTCAAATATCATGGGCCTTGTCCAGGCAATCTTCTTCGTTGCTGCAAAAGGGAACTTTCATGTTATGATCGCCCATATTAATGGCGTCAATAACTCTATTGCCGATTCACTTTCTCGTTCACAGATGCAACGCTTCAAGCAACTGGTTCCAACAGCCGACCACGCCGCTACTCCAATTCCACTCGATCTACTCCCAGAGCGCATCATATCTCAGAACTACCAGCCGCACACCGAAGTACACAAGCCCTAGCAGCACAAGCACATTTGCACATGCAATGCAGCATCGCAGACTCAACCCGTCGAACAAACCAAGTCGGCCAAACCGCTACCACAACTTCTGTGACCTATACTGGCTACCAGCATACCCAGTCACACCACAACAACCATACTATTCGCCACCTACCTAGCTCAGACTGTCGTAACGTACAAAACCATTAAGGTCTACCTGGCAGCCATTATCCATCTACACACTGACTCAGGTCAACCAGACAACATCTCGGACAACGTACAGTTACAACGTACACTACTTGGCATCAAAAGGTCATTAGGGGACACCAAGAAACCACGACTCCCTATCACTATGAACATTCTAAGACGCCTGAAAGAATCACTCCGAACGCACCCGTCCATCCACACAAATGACAAACTCATGCTATGGTCAGCATTTACGGTTGCCTTCTTTGGATTCCTAAGAGTCAGCGAGTTTACTGCAACGTCGCCCCAGCATTTCGACAAAACCCGTACTTTACTGATCGAAGACACAACATGTGCAATCGAGCTATACGTCCAGTTACGAGCCTCCAAAACAGATCCATTTCGTCATGGCTGCATCATCAAAATTGCGCCTACATTCACCTCAGTCTGTGCCGTTCGTGCGTACACCAAGTATTGCAGCATCTGTGCCCCATCACCCCAAACGCCTGCCTTCCAGTTCCACTCAGGGAGTTGGCTTACACGTCAAAGCCTAACTACCCACTTGCGTGACCTGTTGACTAGAGCTGGGATCCAAAATCCACGCCTGTACACAACCCACAGCTTCAGACGAGGGGCAGCGACAACCGCAGCAGAAGCGAACGTGCCAGATTGGTTAATCAAGACTCTAGGAAGATGGCGAAGCGACGCATACCAAGTGTATATCGACACACCTTCGTCAACGCTACAAGCCGTGCCTCGAATCCTCTGCGGACATTCATCTTAGGCGCCTCCTCCTACTACCTGTGGATTCTCAACCTCACGTGACTCTCACACTGGCATCTCGTTTGCCACATCCACGTACTTGCGTTATGCCGTGGTGCTACCTTCGACCATCCAACTTTGTACTCGCTCATTATTACCTCGTTACATTTATTTACATGAACTATATTTCGCTTTAGACATTTACCTTGACATGTTCGTATCATCTATTTCACTTTCAGTCGTGTCGACCACCTCTTGCATTATATATATCACGAGCAACATCACAGTTATGTACTTTAATGCCACAACATATATTTATACCGATTCCTCGGCTTGCTTGTCGCTGCGCCATTCCCGGCCATCTCATAATTTGGGGGTTGTCATCGCAGTGCATGCGGGCACCACTCGATTAACACGCTGCCATTCTTCGTGAATAGAGTCAAACATGCGACTCTGTGCACGGAAATGGTATCCACAACGACGGTCGGGTGGTGACCCCTGCGTTGACTGGCCTCGATCAAGTACCACGCTAATCTCTCCGTGATGTGAATCAAATCTGCGACTCACATCACGGAACAGGTTTCGGCGACGACGCTTGACCGTGGCTCACACCCCTTCTGCTCTCAGCCAAGACTTGGTCTCTAGTGTCGTTTCTTAGCATTAATAGTATGATTATGCATCAGCATAGTCTGCGTTAATGCTCGGTAACGACGCCACAGTTTTAATCCCTACACATGACTTACGCAACACACGCCAGTCGTAATCCCCCTGCACATGACATCAACGTGTGCCCCTATTCATAGGCACGCGACCTTCCATCTCGTGCACGCCTCGCCCATGCTATTTCCATTCACACGCATATTGTAAGCTCATACTCTCGTGACGGTCATTTGCCTAATCCTACTTGCCATGCATCGTCAAGCTTTCCTGTATCCCGCTTCGCCTTAGCATAGTCATTCTACGTTCAGCAAGCGACCTGAACCCGTCTCCAAGCTATCCCACCCACCCACTACCTCATAATTTAAGCATTCAAATCCTGCATCATTCTGTATTACATTTCTACATTATTTCAATAAAGTTAAGGGGGGGTTGTCATCGCAGTGCATGCGGGCACCACTCGATTAACACACTGCCATTCTTCGTGAATAGAGTCAAACATGCGACTCTGTGCACGGAAATGGTATCCGCAACGACGGTCGGGTGGTGACCCCTGCGTTGACTGGCCTCGATCAAGTACCACGCTAATCTCTCCGTGATGTGAATCAAATCTGCGACTCACATCACGGAACAGGTTTCGGCGACGACGCTTGACCGTGGCTCACACCCCTTCTGCTCTCAGCCAAGACTTGGTCTCTAGTGTCGTTTCTTAGCATTAATAGTATGATTATGCGTCAGCATAGTCTGCGTTAATGCTCGGCAACGACGCCTCAGTTTTAATCCCTAACACATGACTTACGCAACACACGCCAGTCGTAATCCCCCTGCACATGACATCTACGTGTGCCCCTATTCATAGGCACGCGACCTTCCATCTCGTGCATGCCTCGCCCGTGCTATTTCCATTCACACGCATATTGTAAGCTCATACTCTTGTGACAGTCATTTGCCTAATCCTACTTGCCATGCATCATCAAGCTTTCCTGTATCCCGCTTCGCCTTAGCATAGTCATTCTACGTTCAGCAAGCGACCTGAACCCGTCTCCAAGCTATTACTCCCACCCACTACCTCATAATTTAAGCATTCAAATCCTGCATCATTCTGTATTACATTTCTACATTATTTCAATAAAGTTAAGGGGGGTTGTCATCGCAGTGCATGCGGGCACCACTCGATTAACACGCTGCCATTCTTCATGAATAGAGTCAAACATGCGACTCTGTGCACGGAAATGGTATCCGCAACGACGGTCGGGTGGTGACCCCTGCATTGACTGGCCTTGATCAAGTACCACGCTAATCTCTCTG